GGAGGGAGGGAGGGAGGGGCGCGTTGCAAGGCAGGAAGGGGAGGGCCCGGAAGGACCGCCCACTCCCCTCCCCCAAGAAGCCTCAAGGCTGCCAGAGAAAGGCCCCCCTGGGTCGCCGCTTAGGGCCCACTTCAACCGAGCCCCACATTTCCGTTCTTAACGGAGACATTGAAGTGAATTTTGCCTCGTCTTACGACCTTTCTTGCTGCAGTTGCTAAGAGAGGAACACGGTTATTAAGCGAATCGGGCTTCCCTGTCGATCTGAGAACGCCACAAGGGCGTTGTGTGGAACCAACGCTCACAATTCACCTTTTTTCAGTGCCATTGTAACTTCGGTCACTAAACGGAAGTTGAGAACTACCTGTGTAGGGAGTCCTCGATTTACGGCTGTCACGCAGCCTGCCCCTTACGGTCGCAGAGCAGGGAATCATGTCCCCATCGGGTTGATTCCCAGCACCCCCCCCCCTCTTTCCCTTCGAGCGGCACCCACTTACGTCCACAAACTCTGTGGTCAGTTTGAAGGCCGAGGTTTCGAAGCCCAGATTGCGGGGGGAGCTGGACAGGATGAAGCCGAAGTCGATGTGGATGATGTGGCCGTGCGCGTCCAGCAGGATGTTGCCGTTGTGCCTGGGGGGGGGGGACATGGGGGGGGGCAGGGAAGAGCGTTTTGCAAAAGGAGTCCCACCTCCCCTCCCAGGTGCCACCTCAGGCAGGAGACTCTCAAGGAGCACGCGCCCAGGAGCCAGGCCCCTCCAGCCTCACCTGTCCTTCACCTGCAGCAGGTAGCAGACCAGGCAGTAGCCGGCGCAGCTCTGCACGAAGTTGCGCTGGGCGGTGAGGAAGCCCTCGGAGGTGAACTGGCCGTGCTCCTGCAGGAAGAAGTCCAGCAGGGAGAGCTGGGACTGCTTCTTCACCTGGTGGATGGACACGGCGTTGACCACCGGCTCGATCATGCCGCTGTCCGCCGAGATGACCAGGATTTTGTAAGGCTTGATCCAGAGCGGGACGCGCTCCTGCTCCCAGATGGCCTGCAAGGGAAGACCGGAGGGCTGTGGGAGGGGCCGGGATGCCCGCCTCCCCCCACCTAGCCTCAATTCCAAAGGCAGGTGGGGGGGGAGATTGGAAGCCCCCTGACCCACCCAGACAAGGCCCCCCCTCCAGCCCCCCCTTTCCCTCCCTCCTCCCTCCCTCCCTCTCCTCCCTTCCACGCTCCTTCCCTCCTCTTCCTTCCCTTCCTCTTCCTTTCCTTTCCTTCCCCTCCTTCCTTACCTGCAGCTGCTT